GGGCGGGCGCCGGGAGGGCCGACCGAGGCCTGGGCTAGACGACTCGCTCCTCCTCAGGGCTGGGAAGGCGGGTACCCGGAGATCGTCAAGGAGAACAAGCTGTTCGAGCACTATTACCAGGAGCTCAAGATCGTGCCCGAGGGCGAGTGGGACCGGTTCATGGGCGCCCTCCGGGAGCCCCTCCCGGCCACCCTGAGGATTACTGGGTACAAAAGGTAGGGGTCTCGCGGCCCGGGGCGGAGCGCTGCTGCCTGCCGTCCTGTGGGTTCGGGACGCCCTGGGTGCAGGGTCCTTTGAAATAGGCTTGAGTCGGGGGGCGGGGGGCTTTGCGGGTGGGAGGCCACAATAAGAAATGAAAATGCAGCCTAAGAGGAGTTTGGCTCTTGGGCATTAATTAGCTGAGGGTTGTGCTTTTGGAACACAATATTTGTGACATCGAATTTATCTCGCTTTTTTTTTTTTTTCATGATCAATGTAGTTGTCTTTCCATGGTAAGTTAGGAGTATAAGTAGAACTTCAGGTATTATTGGAGACTAAGAACGAAGCATTGTTTTCTTAATTTTTTTTCAATAATCAATGAGGATTGCTTAAATTTAAAGGAATACCATGAACTGGTGAAAGCACATTTCTGTACGTTGTGTAGAGTTGGTTTAATTTTAAAGCTCTTGTAAGTCTTTAAAGGTGGAAGCTTTTCTGATCAGTATAATAAACTTGCCTGTTTTTCGATAGCCATGCAAAAGAAATTCTTCATTGCCTGAAGAACAAGTATTTTAAGGAGTTGGAGAACCTGGAAGTGGATGGTCAGAAAGTTGAAGTTCCACAGCCTCTGAGTTGGTAGGTGTTGAAGTGCTTCCTTGTGTTGAGTATTTCTTTAAATCTTTTTTTTCTCTCAATGCATTTTTTCCTATTAGATTTGCTATTTCCATACAAAAACCAAATGTACTTACGAGACGTCATGATGTTCTTTATGCAGCCCTTTCACTGAGTTTACAGGGTGTGCAAGTTTTTATAAAGCACTTCCTGCTTTCCTCTTTCATTGGCGTGATCCAGTTTGCTTGTTCCTATAGATCTGTCCTCTGTCCTTGGTGTCATCCTTGCTTTGGCCTTTTCCATCTCCATTTCACGCTTGTTTTCGCACATGGGGGGTGGTAGTCATCTTTACCTTCAGAGGAACGGTGGACACAGCCTGACCGAGGGCTGCCACAGTCTACTGTGTATTGGGTGCCACACTTTGCCAGCACAGACTGCTTTAGTCATATCTTAAAAGCTTGAAGGATACTGCGCAGGAATCTGACCGAGGTGCTGGGTTGCTCTTGTGGTCACTAATCGCGTGTGCACTGTGCTGAGACCCGTGGAGAAGAAAGGTGTTGCCGTGGTATTGCTGAGATGAGGTGGCCGGCATGGGACCACACTTTTCTCTCTCTAGGTAACTGGTTGATAGCTTTGTCTACCCCCGAGTACCGAGTTGCCTGATGGCAGTGTTGCTTGTACAGAAACATTTTAGTTTTGTATGGATTTGTGGCTTCACATTATTACCTGAAAGTACTTGCTCCTTAAAGCTTGAGTCTAGGGCTGGTGAGATGGCTCAGTGGTCTAAAGCACCTACTTAGAACAAGCTTAGCAAAACACAGGGACCGCGATTCAATCCCCCAGCACCACATGCCAGCCAGCCCCGCCCCCTGGTGGGCTGAGCTGGCCACACCCACACACACAAAATAAATAAATAAAAAAAAATTAAAAAAAACAAAAAACTTGAGTCTAGAAGTGTGATAGAGTGAGGAAGGCATGGAAGGTGAGAGAATGTTTGTCTTCCAGTCTTGGCTGGGAGGAGGACTTTTAGCGTGCATCTGAGCGCCTGGGAATATTTATTTTCTTGTGCAGGTTCCAATGAACTGAGATTTCACAGGTGGTTAATCTCACTGTCCTTGTTCTTTGCAACTGTGGTCAAACTCATGTTGATCAGCCTTTAAACACTTAACAGCTGCTTTCCATCTTGTCATGCATAAAGGTTACATGACATTTGTTTATTTTCTGATCATACAGCTGAAAGCTGAAGGGTATAAAGAAAAGACTGATTTGGATTCCTGTATTCATCTTTATGTGTATGATGTCAGTGGAAGTATTCTTGACAACTTTATTCTGTAAACGTTTAATCAAATTTCCTTGTCACTTGTGTGATGCTCATAAATCTCAGCAAATAAAGCAGCAACTATTTAGGATTTCTGGTGTTTTTTCTGTGTTCAGAATGTAGAAGATGAGAGAATGTTCTTTCTAGTCCTTTGGTACACAGTGGGATAGAATTTAGGAAACTATTTCAGACATATATTTTTGAGAGGGAGTGTTGCATGTAGGACTTACAGCTGGGCAGATTTGGCATTTTCCCTGCTTCCCCAGACTGCAGTGGTGAACTGCCCTGTGGCCTTTTTTGCCGCATCTTTTTATCAGTGTCTGTTTATGTACTTTCTCACATCTGGGTTGAAGACCATGTGCGGTGTGGAGTTTTGTGTTTTTTTGTTTTTTTGATGGAACTGGGGATTGAACCCAGGCCCTTACGCCTGCCAGGGAAGCGCTTATTCCACTGAGCATCTCCCCGGCCCTGCAAATCAGCTTTTTTCTTTAAAGACTTGAAATAACCAAAAATTAAATGTAATTCTCTAAAATTATTTTATGTAAAGATCTTAAATTAGTTGACTCAGAAAAGATGAAAGTGGTTGAAAGCTGCTTAATAATCATGCTTTTGAGCTTGTGTTTAATTGAAAGTTCTTAGATGACGTTCTTAAGCTTCCGGTTTCTTCTGCTTAGCATTGCAGGAGAACTTTAAGGATAGGAATATTTGCACAGATCATACGTAGGTTGCGTATTTGTTTGGAAATGAAAACCGAGTGATTTTCAGTACGTCTGTGTGGCAGGTTGTGTTCCTGTGGATGATGTTTAGGTGATTTGGGGAAGGGTAACTTGCACGGCCACGCTGTCTCTGATCACAGATGGTCAGGTCGGCGCACACTTGGCCACCCAGCGTCACAAAGGTAGTAGCGGCACAATAGATTTTGCCAATTTTTTTTTTTCCTGCCAGTGTTTAGGGCAGGACCTCCAGAGTCTCAGAATGTACACCAGACTCATAGTGATTCTTCTGTTTTCAGCCTCCCAAGCACTGAGAGTACAGGCGCTTGCCACCACAGCCAGTCTCATTCTCCGTCTCAGCGGGACTCCACGCCAGGGGTAGCCCAGCCACTGTGCTTTAGTTGGCTGAGCTGTCGGGCGGCCATTGCCGAATTCTTCAGTGGCAGTCAAGCCCAGTGCATTCCTACCGATTAGCCTCAGGGGACACCAAAAGAACACTTACGTTCTTTATTTGATTGCCTGGCAAATATGATTTCAATTTAGTTTTTTATTTATCAAACCAGTTTAAACATCAAAGAGAGAACCAAGCAAAGGGAGTAGCTAAGGACTGTGGACCTTTGAAGGAGAATGGCTTCAGCTACTTTAGTCTTTGTTCTCAAAAAGTGGAGACAGCAGAGAGTGTAGGAGTTCTAATCTTCCTCAGCAGTTTCGACATTGGGGATTTTATGGGTTTTGTTTGTATGCAATATATTTCAGCCTAGAGCTGGTGTTAAAATTTAAAAAATATTTAAAATTTCTTTGTCAACTATACATGACCTAACAAATGACTGCTGTCTGTTGTTATGATTCAGTGTAGTCTGTGACCATTCACTCTTGTTACTCTTTTCTGCTGACCTCTGCACCACTGGTAATGATGAGGCGCTCCGAGTCTCTGCTTTTCTGTCTTCTCGATGATAGTTTAACAGTCACGTCGTACTTATGTGTTTCTCAGGTCTCCTACAGTTGTCCTGTGTCTTACTGGGCTGTGGCCCAGAGCCACGGGTGGTGTCCCGTACTGCACTTGAGCGCACCGTGGGTGTGAGCAGGCAGGACCCAGTTAGAGGGCTCACGGGGCTGTGCCCCGCAGGAGCAGCATGTCGTCAAACCCCTCGGGTACATATGATCCGTAAATGCTTATTTTCTTTTGATCAGGTATCCTGAAGAACTTGCCTGGCACACAAACTTAAGTCGAAAAATCTTGAGAAAGTCCCCTCAGTTGGAAAGGTTCCATCAGTTCCTGGTTAGCGAAACTGAATCTGTAAGTAGATGTTGTTAGAGTCCACTGTGCTGTTCATTGCCTTACAGACTGCACGCGGAGATGCTTCACAGTTGTGTCTGAGCTGTGCTTGCAGCCGGGCGCCCTAGGCGGAGTAGGCACAGGAGGACCCTGTGAGTGCCCGCACTGTCCCTTCTCACCTTGTGGGGCTGGCCTGTCTGGACGTTAGCAGCCTGCTGCCCATGCTGTCACTCTGGTGTGCGGTGTTCTCTCAGCTGGCGAGTGGGAGGGGGCTGTGAGGGTGGGTGAGGGTGGGCCTTGTTCTGAGACTGCAGCTTAATCTTCCATCTCCTCAGATGCATGCCACAGCTGTCTGCTGTACTCAGGAAATAGGTTTTTAAGGCCACAGTATAGGGCTTTTGAAGAAAGTCATTTTGTTAAAAAGGGTTTTCACTTCATTAGCATCTTCCTGCACATTGCTCCTGTACTGCACTTTTGCCAAGAATCACAGAACACCTAAGTGCAGGTTGCTTCTCCAGAGGTGCTGCTTTTCTACCACGCTGACCTCCCGTCAGCAGCTGAGCTGCTTTAGTGTCACCCTTGTCCCAGGAGAATGGAGTTTGGGCATTAATGAGCTTTGCTGTTTGCTGCTTATTCTTTGGGAATTCTTAATGTCCAATCTTAAAGTAGAAGTGTCCTCCTTCTTTTTCCAGCCTACTCCCTTACAGCGAGGCGAACCTCTGTGCGTTAGCAGCTTGTGCCTTTCCTTCTCACAGTGAGCTTACAGAATACCGTGCTTTCCAAGCTTCCTCTCTGAAGCATTAGCCAGTTTGGAAGCCGTTCAGTTTGCTTAGTTGGCATTTCCACTCAAGTCCCACCTGCTTTGTGCCATGTTGCTCTCCGTCTGGGCGGCTGACCTGTTAAGCCTGGCTCCCCTCCCTGATGGTGTGAGAGCTGAGCTCTGCCAGGCAGCCCTTCAGTGCCTGGTGCCCTTGCTCAGCGCTCCACCTGGGTGGGCGGGCAGTAAGGAGAAGGAGACGGGCTCGAGCTGCTCAGGTCTGCACTTGGGAGTGTGCCGAGGGTATGTGGGGAGTGGTGTGGTACCCAGGAAGTTTTCAGAGTCAGGCTGATGTATGGCCGGCCTCAAACCTGGGGGTGCAATGAGCATTTGACAGGTGAAGTCAGGGGTGGGCATAGGTTCGGATGTGAAATGCCTACATTTAGGACAAGGGACAGCTTTCTGGCCTCAGGTTGGACACTGAAGTCCAGGATGGGTGGAGCAGGGCTCTCGGGAGCCTGCATGGCTTCCAGGCCCTTTGAGGGTTGTAATGGACAGAGGATGCTGCAGGAGTGGGCCTCTCTTCATCTGAGCGTTTTCCGAAGTAACACAGACCCTGGCCCCCCCAGGACGTGTGAGGACGGTGACTAAGGAGGATGTTGGGCTGTCAGTCATGCAGAGAACAAGGGCAAAACAGCAGCTGGTATGTTCTCTGAAGGTAGCATTGAGGAGTGGGAAGTGGACATAAGTAGTTCCTCGAAGCAGGGCTGGACCGGGAATTGGAAGTTAGACTGGAGCCGGGAAGAAGCAGCCCAACAGCCACCTTGTCTGGTGTTCCCTCCTGCCTGGAGCGTTCAGCAAGCGGGTCTACCCTTGAGCGCTGCTCCTCAGCCATGTGCGCTCTGGTGAGGACAATTTGGCCTCGGTGTTACCTGGAGCTGCTGGCACTTTCATGGCCTGTTTTGGTGTTGCGGTCGTCCTTGGTGCTTAGGCAGCAACCAATCACTCACCAACATGTAAATCTGTCGGCAGTTAGTGTGTGTTCCACGCGATAGTCTGTCTTTGGTTCTGTGTAAAATTGTGTAATCTGTTCCTGTTGCATTTGACATACCAGTGCCTGTTGCTGAGATTCTCTGCCATTTGTTTTATCGTTGATTTTCTCCCACAAGGGAAATATCAGCCGTCAGGAAGCTGTGAGCATGATCCCGCCGCTGCTGCTGGACGTGCAGCCGCACCACAAGGTAGCACGTGTGCCTGAAGCCCGGGAGTGGGCTGTTGGCAGGGTCCTGCTGTGTGATGTGTTCTCTGAGACCTGCTGACAGGAATTTGCCCCTCACTTTGGAAGAACAGTGGTATATATTTTATGTCAGGTTCTTGCACTTTTTTTTTGTATGTAGTACAGGGTCTCACTACGCAGATGAGACTCGTAGTGATCCTCCCATTTTCAGTCTCCCAAATGCTGGGATTGCAGGCACGCCGCCACACTCAGTCTCAGTCGCCATCTCAGTGCGCCCAGGGGCAGGGCCGTCACAGCGTGGCAGGCCAGGGATAGCAGCCCGGTCCCTGCACCTGCCAAAGTAGGTGCTTTAATCCACTGAGCTGGCTGGCTGGCCCAGGTTGTTGCAATTTTGACAATTCATACAACTGGGCTTTGTTTTACAAATTTTATAATGCCCTTGCCATACAGACATCTTCGGTAGTCTTGGCCAAACCACACTGAAAATTGTGATTTGAGCTCGTTGTGTTCCGAGCACTGTCAGTGCCTTTTAAGGGAGTCACCTTGCCTTCTCATCCGGAAGCCCTGTGGAGAGTAGATACACTGTCTGGCCGCTTTTCCAGGAGAAAATAGTAGTATTTGACAGAAGGTCACAGGGCTTCAGAGCAGCCGAGCTCTGTCTCGGGCAGTATGCTGCCAGTTCTGGCTCTCCTTCAGTGAACATGATTTTCCATGGGAGTCTAGTGTCCTCTGTCTCAGCTGGAGACTGTACCTGTGTGTGTTTGTGATTTTTTCTTTTTAGAGTAATAGGAGTTTTTTTTTGTAAACATCAAACATTTTCTTGCTTTGCTTTTAGATCTTAGATATGTGCGCAGCACCTGGATCAAAGACCGCACAGTTAATTGAGATGCTGCATGCCGACATGAATGTTCCCTTCCCAGGTACTTGCTGGAGGGTGGGCATGGCCATGGTGGGAGGGAGGCAGGGAAGAGCTCATGGGGTCCCGAGATCTCGTGGGATGAACAGACAGGTTTTCTGTATACGAAGGCAGAGCGAGGTGTTTTTGTAAAGGTAGGAGTTCTCAAACAGCATATTCTTGCAGGGGGTGGGGGGGGGGTGTTGCTTTGTGTCTGTATTTTCCATAAAACCTTTTTTTCTGTTTGGTGTGGGTGTCAGGTCTACTGATGGTGTACAGGTATCTCAGCTTTGAGTTTTGGGTCCTCTCTGCTGTGTGGTTTTGAGCTCTGCGGAGCTCTGGGCTTGGTGCTTTCTGCCATATCACAGGCCAGGGACAGTGTTGCCCATGCCCCTTGGGACTTGACCAAAAACTCGATGATGGTTCATCGTTGTCAACATCATCTCCCTTTCTTTCCGTGAGCCATCTGCCCAGGTCTGTTTTAGCGGGCCTATTTGGTATACCTATAGGTGTGTGCATGTGAGTCCTCTTACGTTATTCAGGGATATTCTTGTTAAAATGTGGTCTTCGTTTTCTGGTTAAAACCAGAGGCAAAGAGCTTGGCTCATGTTGGCAGGAATGGTTTCCCTCTTTACATCATTGAGGCTTTGCTCTTGGCATGGCTGCAGGATGATGCTGGTCACATAAGCGTGGTAAGGTGTCCTCGCCCTTGTGCTGGCCTTTGCGAGGGCGCAGCGGTGTCGAGGTGGTTCCTGGCCTACTGGCTCAGCAGCGCGTCTGTCCCAAGACAGAGGTGGTTCGTTCAGGTGCCCAGATGGGAGCCCACTGCTTGGTCTGGAGCGGCGCCTCGGCACCAGCGGCGCTCGCGCTCAGGTGGCGCTGCTGTTTTCTGCACCATTGTCCTCGCCTTCTTTTGTAATTGCTTCCTAGTCACAGGAAAGACATTGTTAACACACTATTTAGTACCAAGTGAACAGAGGACTCTTGAAGTTTTGAAATGTTCAGGGGTGTGTGAAGTCCATGTCGTTTTTTGGAACAGCTACGTGTTTCTAGAAAATCTTGGCCTAAGGTTATATGTGTGGTAAATTGCTATGTTTAAGAAAATTACTCCGCTTCTGCTGCATCTGTCCTGACACTTTCGTTTTATGTATCCAGAGGGATTTGTGATCGCCAATGATGTGGACAACAAGCGCTGCTATCTGCTCGTTCATCAAGCCAAGAGGTTGAGCAGCCCCTGCATCATGGTTGTGAACCACGATGCGTCCAGCATCCCTAGGCTCACAGTCGATGTGGAAGGAAGGAAGGAGGTCCTCTTCTATGACCGAATTTTATGTGATGTCCCCTGCAGGTATTTATATTAGTAACAGGCCAGAGAGCCCAGCCCTTTGAAAGGAATCACATCAAATGTAGGCTGAAACTGCGTATGACTTGTGACCGTGGGCAAAGAGAAAGATATCCTGGGCCTCAGGCAGAGGAGGGACAGTACATGGGTGAATCGGCTCAGCTTGACGCTGGATGTAGAGCAGAGGGGAGTGGAAAGGGTGGTTTTGATAAACAGTCTTTTAAAAGGAAGTGAGCAGACTTCACAGCCGTGAGCTCTTGCTCACGCTTGGCTTACTTTAGGGCATTATACGGAATGATTTTGCGACACGTATTTCTGTAGAGACTGTCATAGAGATACACAGTCACATGAACTTTGCCTGCCGAATTTTATATTATACTTTGATAGAAATGTAGGGGTTCAATCCTTTGAGAAACTGTATCTATACTTGTTTGTAAATTTTATCCAGTAAGGGTTATTTGCAGGGGCCGGGGAGATAGCTCAGTGGAATAAGCGCTTCCCTGGCAAGCACAAGGGCCTGAGTTCAATCCCCAGTTCGCCAAAAAAAAGGGTTATTTTGCATTCAGTGATGCAGCGAGGAGCTGAGTGTTTCCTAAAGAGAACACCCACTGAAGCCGTCTGCCGGGAGTGTGGACACGGCAGGAGCACGTGCCGTTGTGGCTGGCCACTGCTGCCCTGCGGCGTGAGGGTTCCCAGCACCTTGCCTGGGGCACAGTCACTGCTCATGACAGAGCTCTGTTTGGAACTAGAACCAGCACTGATGTCGACTGTTTAAAGTGAAGTTTAGAGCAGGGTAAATTGTTTAAAACGGACCCCCATAAATGGCTTGCAGCAAGGTAGGGGAGGCTCAGTAAATGGGTTGTAAGCTCAGTTCCCTTTTCCAAGTTGCAGTTTTCTCAGTCACCCTGCTTTTCCATCTCAGTTCTTTATTCTTTTGATCTAAAATAAAACTTAGGGGCTGGTGAGATGGCGCAGTGGTCTAGAGCACCTACTTAGAGCAAGCTAAGCCAAGCAAAGCACAGGGACCGCGGTTCAATCCCCAGCACCACACGCCAGGCAGCCCGCCCCCTGGTGGGCTGAGCCGGCCACACACACACACACACACACACACACACACACATAAATTTAAAATAAAACTCCTTCCGTCATGCTCTGAGAATAAAGCGACCTTATGAGCAGTTGGTTGTAAACTAAAGAAATTCCTGCAGTTACTGTGGAGTCTCCACTGTATAAGCACTTAGCTTCCAGCTGGGGCATCATTTGAAAGTAGGAATCATGTCTCATGGGACATATCCAGCCTTGGGAGCACATGTGGCAATCAGACGTGACCAAAATTAACAGAGGCAAGAATAAACCCTGGAAAGGATTGGGTGGATATAATTAGATGTGGACAGAAGATGACAAATCAAGCCTGTATTTTAAAATGTACATGGAAATAATTTCCATTAATGAAAACATGAAACTAATTCCCATTAAATAAAAATAGAAAGTAGGAAATGGAGTTAAATTGGCCTAATTGAAATTGCTGTGGAAAAACCTTTTGAGTATAAATGTATCGTTGCTCAGTTTTGATTAAGATGTCATTGTTGATTAAGTCTTGTAAGTAGCAGTATTCTGTGTCATAAGTCTGCATGCCAGTTCTGCTAGTACAGGTTGGGCCTCCCAAGTCTAAAGCATGGAGTACTACAAACTCAGCGCTGTTCCCTTGCCGCAAGTAGAAGATTCTACACCTGAGCTCACATGATGGGTTGCAGTTACAATCCGGACACATTGGAAGTGCTGTACCATATTCCCTTCTGTGGTTTATATCGCAGAAACATTTAATGTTCAGATTGGCTCTCAGTCTCATGGTAGCTCATTACATATATGTGCGTGTTCAAGAAATGCTGAAACATTTCTGACCCCAAGCATTTTGGGTGATGGATACTCGAACTGTATTTCTCCAAAATGAATGCAAGTTAATCTTTTCAGGAGATAAATGAGATTTCTTGTTCAAATCTAAAGTAAAATGTTTTTAAGGGTATCTCTCAAGAGGTTGGTTTTTATTTGTGAATAATATGGGAGTGTTTAACTTATGAATAACTGGAGAGTGTTTTCTAGTTGGAATTTGTAGTCTACCTCTTCTGTGATCCCACGTGGGCAGTACGTACCACACAGCTTCAACTTGTTGAATGTCTTCCAGTGGGGATGGCACTATGAGGAAAAACATCGATGTCTGGAAGAAGTGGAGCACCTTGAACAGCTTGCAGCTGCATGGGTGAGTGAGCCGCGGCACCTCTGGGCATGGTGGCTTGGCAGGGCTGTGTCGTAAGCGGTCTGGCACTGGGCCCCAGGAATGGCAGCCAGTGGGACCTCATGAGAGTTTGCTTGGATGTCAGTTGTTTTTAAAACCTCTCAAAAGTAGTAACTATAAATTATGTCTTTAGATACACGTTTACTATAAACGTCAATAATAATTTTTCCCAGTATTACAAAAATTTTTCCAGCAAAGGACCGTTTTGTTCATGTCTCAGCGTATCTTTTTTTCTTCATTTTTCTTGCATTTGTGGTATTACTCTGCTTAACCTTTTGACCCTTGAGAATAATTTTAGGTGGTATTTATAAGGAAAATACTGATTAATGAAAATGTGGAGAATTCTTACAAGATGTTTGCCGCACATAGCTGTGTTGCGTCAGTGTGTTTCGCTGTCCCCTGCGCAGAGCTCTGCACACCGTCCTGGAGCAGCTGTGGTTGCTGTCTGGGCAGCTCTGCCTTTGTTTTCCATTCTCTGAGGAAGAACATGCCTAAAGTGTGCTGATGAAAATGCACAAGTAACGGGGCCGGGGATGGCTCAGTGGAATAAAGCGCTTCCCTGGCAAGCGCAAGGGCCTGAGTTCAATCCCCGGTTCTGCCAAAAAAAAAAAAAAAAGAAGAAAGAAAAAGAAAATGTACAAGTAACATCAGCAGGATGTTTTGGTTCTCTAAATACTTATCACCATTTTTGGGTTTTTTACCATTTTTTTGTAGAAGGAAGACAAGTGTGAAGGATAGACTATATGAAGTGACACAAATGTTTTACAGAAAATTCCTATCTGTACAAATATAATCTTGTGGGGTTCTGGGTACCAGGGATCCAACTCAGGACCTTGGGCTTGCTAGGCGGGCAGTTATGGGGCTGAGCTAGCTCCTCGGCAAAAACAGTTTTTTAATGATGAAATTCATGTAGTTGTGGATTCGATCATTAATAAGCTCTGTTTTTGCCTGATGTGTCGGCCAGGAAACAGAGCAAAAATACTTGTGAGGAGCGGCTTTTAGCACTAACACAGAAAGCTTGTAGAAGTTGGCCTAACTTCATTTACAAGCTTGAAACTTGGGGGTGTTGCAAAAACCATAAAGCAGTGCTTACTCGTGAACATGTGTGCGGTGTGGGGGCATTCAGTCTGGGGCCCCCTGTGCCGACCCTTAGCTTACAGCTGCGGATCGCGACCCGTGGCGCCGAGCAGCTGGCGGAAGGCGGGCGCATGGTGTACTCCACGTGCTCCCTCAACCCCGTCGAGGATGAGGCCGTCATTGCGTCTCTCCTGGAGAAAAGCGAAGGTAAGCAGGCTGCGAGACCTCTTGGTGGACGGGCTCACGGTGTGTGCTCCTGCAGCCCTCTGGGACCTGGCTTCTGTGTTCTCGCCGTAGCCGTAGCTCCTTACGTGACGTGTTGGGATCAGAAACACTTGCATGGGAGACTTCTCGTAGTGTATGGATTATTTGAAAACAAGAGATTAGCTTGTTTTAAGTTTGGAAGATTATAGCAGATTCTTGTCATACTGGTCTATTTTTAACATTTTTGACTATGGGAAATTTTAGTTTTGTTAGACTCGGCATGGGTAGGGCTCCCTTGAAGAATAAGGAGGCCGGCCCTGAGCCGTGTGCTCCGCAGCCGCGGGAGTCTTCCAGGAGGAGCTGTGCTCCCCATCTGAGACTGCTAGAAACCCCCGCTTCATGGAGCAAGGCTGTGGCTGAGTTGCAGGTGACAGGTGGGCCAGCAAGGTCACTCACAGCGCCCTGGACAGTTTGGTAATGCTGTGCTCTGGTTGTGTGCTAGCGTTGATGGAAAACTCAAAAACCGTGGCGGAAGTCAGGAAGATGCCATGTGAAAGGTTTCTTCTGCCACCTGTCTACCTCTGAGATTCTTTCACTTTGCTTGTACCTGTTCAGATTTCTCCCAGCTTCTGCACAGAGCTTGGTTGGGTTGTCCTTCCCTCGGAAGCGGTCGCATCTTTGTGGCCGGGCTATGGACAGGAGCTGATGCTAGGTTTTCCAGCTCCCCTTCTGGCTTCTGTTGATGTCCGTGTTGGAAGGCAGAGCGCGTGTTTAAAGTTGGCCTTTGTCATGGTGGACCATTTTACAAACTCACTGGGAAATAAACTAGTGTTAAACAATTTTTAGTGTTTGTTTCTGGGTGGGTGTTAGGCACACAGGCAGAGAGTCCCCAGCTGTCTGAGCAAGATGTGTCTGGAACAGGGTGTGGAACCCCACACTGGGTCGTGGCTGTGTGTGGCATGTGGGTGCAGCTCCACAACCTTGATCTTGTAATCGCAGAAGGACTCTGATACCATTGTGGCTTTGTGGAAATGTAGTTCACCTGATGTGGCGTTCACCTGTTTATGTAAAGTGTGCTGCTAAGTGGCTTTCAGTGACCTTCCCCTCTCAACCACTGGCTGGTCCCATTTCGGTTCAGCATTGTACCACAAAAGCTCTGTGTGCCACTCCACATGCCACCCAGCTCCCAGCTGCTGCTGCTGCTGTCCTTGCAGTCAGTGGCTTTGCCCTCCCTGGGTGTTTCCTGTAAGTGGCTTTGTGTAGGGTAGGATCTTTCGTTCCTAGCTTCTTTGCTGGGCATAGTGTGCCATCCCTTTGGGGATTTTTTTTCTCCTTAATAGGTGCTCTGGAGCTGGCTGACGTGTCCTCTGAGTTGCCAGGACTGAAGCGAATGCCTGGACTCACGCAGTGGAAGGTAACGCTGTGGGAAGGCTGGGGTTCCCGGCAGCAGGGGCTGTCACAGGTGCGAGCAGTGATGTAGGGTGACGTGAGCTGGTGCTACTTGGGCTGCGTGGTTTAGAGTGAACATGTGGGTTATGTTTATGGGCAGATGCTATGATTGAACATGCCCTACTCTGGCAGTAGAAAACTTTTTCTTTTTTTTTTTTTTTTTTCTCACTTTTATCCCACTTATAGAAACCAGCTCTGTTGTTTCCTTAAGTACAACTTTGTTGGGGGTTTTTTGTCGGAACTGGGGATTGAACTCAGGCCCTTGTGCTTGCCAGGGAAGCGCTTACTCCACTGAGCCATCTCCCCGGCCACAACTTTGTTTTTAATGGTCTGACATTTAAGCTTCATTCCCCACATAAAAACAGTTCAGTTTACAGTTTCTGTTTGGATAGAATCCGGGAGTGATTTTAAAAATAAAAGAGAAACCTGTATGGAAAATGTTCTTTGATTTTGGTGGTCCTGTTTTGGAAGTTCTCCATCCTTCATTTTCAGCAGATAGTGTGTAACTAGAGGGTTATTTTGAAGAGCTCTTTGTCTGGGCAGAGAGTCTGTTCTGTGTTGGGGGACAAGCCTGCCGTGGTCCCTTTGTTTTTTTTTTTTTTTTTTTTCTACAGTTTTATTGATAAACATATAGCAATGAGATAGTTTCAAATCAAATCGGAAGTACAGTTTCAACAAATAATACACTGCATATATT